AAAGAAAGAAAGAAAGAAAGAAAGAAAGAAAGAAAGAAAGAAAGAAAGAAAGAAAGAAAGAAAGAAAGAAAGAAAGAAAGAAAGAAAGAGAGAGAGAAAGAAGAAAGAAAGAAAAAGAAAGCAAGACTGGCAGGCTGGCCCCACTATTTCTTCCCTGGCGTGGGCACTGCTCATTCCAGGCTCAGCTGAAGGTTAAACCTGTGGGGCCTTCCCTTAAGTCCTGATCCGAGGCAGGGAGAGAAGACACCAACATGCAGGTGGCTTCTATTTGTGAAAAGTAAAGACTTCGCGCGGCCCTGACCACTGCCGAGGCTGCAGCGCCCCGCGCCCAGGCTGAGCCCCACCGGTGCCTTTATTCAGGGCTTTCAGGCTTGGATGGTTGTTGGGTGCGACAGGAGGACGCGGGCATGTCTCCTCCCATTGGTGCAAGGTCCAGACTGAGGCACAGAGAGCAACTGCAACGTGCCTCAGATTAAAATAAAATAATAACTAAGCCACTAAAAGTGCCACAAGCTGCTGCCGAAGGGTTTCGTCTCCCTGCCATGTGCGTGGCCGCAGCTGGCTCCTCCGCCGAGGTCCCCGGGGCACGAGGTGCCATTAGGAGGAGGAGCCGCTGCCCCCGGCAGCACATAGCGGGGTGGGGGGCAGCACATACCGGGGGGGGCAGCACCGTGCTGACCTTTCACCTCCTGCACGCACCGAAACCCGTCGGTCACGCTGCGCGGGCGCTCGCTCCACCCGCCACGGGCCCAGCTTTGGCAAGTCCCCGGTGCCAGACATGCCAAGGGCCCCGTTCGGAGGGCTGTGCCCCGGGAGGGCGGCCAGAGATGGCAGATAAGGCTTGTTTACGTGGCAATGATTCCCCAGGTCTAACCAGGAGCATTCCCATTCCATGCTCAGCCTCTGAAAATTCCTGCATTACCCACTTGGCCATGAAGGGTTGCAAAACCCAGCTCACCCTTTCCTTACTGGTGAGCAGATTCCCTGGGGCCTGATCCGGGAACGGTCCCAGCCTGGGCGGCTCACGCTGGGAGCACAGGGCTGCCCTAAGCCCCTTCCTAAGAGCAAAAGGGGAAGAAACCCTCAGCGTAGGGACACGGGGAACTACAATCTGGGTGTGTGTCAGTCACCTCTCTGGACGACTGGTTTCAGAGGTGGGATGTTTTGGCTACCACGGTGTGGGACCCCGCTGCAGGGTGCTGAGCACCGGACGGGACATGTGCCAGCACATCGTCCTCCAGCAGGTTCCTAACCCATCCCCAGGGATTAGCCATGGCTTTCCCAGCGCTGCCACAGCCACGTCACGGCCACCCACCTGCTTTGCTGCATCAGTATTTTGCCATGAAGTGGCCCGGGTTTAAGCCAACGCGATTTCCAGCGTGGCCAAGGGAACCACACGGAGGGGCATCTCCAGCTCCTACTGCCACGAGCTACAGCAGAATTCCCTCCGAAGTGACCCAAGTCCCGCTGCCCCAGCCCTACAAGCAGTGGCCCCCCAGCACACCCCCCCTGTGTGCCCTCCTCTCCTTGTCCTTCGAGGTGTCTCCTAACTGGGGGGTCCTCTGGCAAGTTAAAATAGGGCTGGAAGCAGAGTGTTGCCTGCTGTTGTCCTCCTGCAGAGACACAAAGCAAAACAAATGCATTTAATTTGCTTTTATTTAATTTAAAAAAAAAAAAAAAGTCAAAGTCGTTGCAATCCCATTTAAATACAGAGATTTACAAATAGGTCCAAAACAGGACTAAAATATTCTTTGAAATGCTGTACTTTTAAATATTGTGCTTTCATAGATACATAAGAAAATTAGCATATAAAAATACTTTACAAGGAATACACTCTAATATATGGATAAAAATACACATTTAATGCATTTCATCTTCATATCATTCAAAATGCATAGGAAGGGATACAAGGACCAAGTTTTTCTTCCTTCTTTTCTTTTTTTTTTTTTTTTTAAAGCCTTTAATAAAAGTCTTCATTAAAAACCTATGAGAAGCCCCAGCGAGCTTCCACTGCTCAGAATATTGCATATAAAAACACTTCTGGCTGCACTGTCAATGCTCCACAGGATCAGTTATGGCACATTACCTACTTGTGGCAGCAATGGTATGGGGTATTGCATACTCGAAGAGAAAATGGCTACGACGACAAATAGCTGGATGGGGCCGGGCACGTGCCTGGAAGAAACCCCCTGACACGCCGCGGAGGGACGGAGTCGCGAAGCGGCTCGGGGACGGACGGCGTGGGGACGAGCCCTGGCTCAGCAAAGCGGCCCAAGGGGCGCTGCACCCCCAGCCCACGCCCCGCGGGCTCCGGCACCGGTGGAGCTGGAGGGGGGACGGGGAGGCTGCGCCGTGCCGGAGCCTTCCCGGGGAAAGCGATGCCAGGCTCACACCCTCACCACTGGGCCATGAGCATCATCATAAAGTGCTAAAACGTGAAACGTGGCAAGCAGATGAGCGAACCAACGCGACGGGGGCTCTCGGGAGGGGGCGAGCGTGGGGCCTCATGCCTGCGAAGCCGCGGAGGGGTCAGCGATGGGGGCAAGCAGCCGAACCCGCGTGGGCACACACAGACAGAGCCCAGCCCACGCGGGACACAACCTCCATCTAACAAAGGCTTCTCATGCCACTGACAGGACAAGGCTTGATTCAAAACATCAGGGAGGGCCCTGGGAAGATCGCTGTTCCGCTATTTACTTGCGGGCACAGGCCAGGTTTGCAAGCAAGAGATCTCCATAAAGCCCAGACAAACGAAGTGGCTGGGGATTTGGGCAGGAATTCAAGGCCTTCAGCCTCGGGAACGGCCTCCTGCTCTGTACTGACTCCTCCAGCACAGGTAACCACGTTGCTCACGGGACTCGACGGTGAGACAAGGTGCCTCATCCCACTGCAGGGCGAGCCAGCCTGGCAGGGAGCACGGATGGGGCTGGCAGGAGGCAGCTGCAAATACCGATTTTTGAACAAGAACTGCATCTTGCCACTCTCAAGCACATTCTCAAATGTCTTTTAAACAGGAGTCTCCACAGCCCTGCACCAGGAGTGCAGGATTTCTCAGGAGTGTTTCAAGGATGGAGCTGGTCACAACAGAAAAGGAAAGGCGTTGTCAGTCTTGCTGTATGCGATGAACCGAGCAAACAAGAAACAGAATAGCACCATGTGTGTTTATAGGATGGCCAAGGCCTTCGGGGTGAGGAGGGTGCGGGAGGCAGGACCCCGTCGGCAGCTCACCCCTGGCCGGTGCTGCCCACGGCCTCAGACGCGCATCCAGCCCCGACCTTCCCAGCAATCTTTGGCGGTCTACAAGCTCACTGAAGACCCACCTCCCCACTTGCACGTTATGGTACACACAGCGTTTAACAAATACCAGTGCAAAAAACAGGAAAAACACCCCAAATAACCCCAACGGTTCAGCAGAGGCCCCAGGCACCGTCTGCTCCGCTCCTGCTGCTCAGAGCGTCTGGACGCTCGCCTTGACCTCGGCACCGCGGGCCGCCTGCGCCGGCAGCTCTCTGTTCCCCTCCGGGGGAGCGTTGGCAGCCAGTGCCAAGGGGTTTCGGCTAATCACCAGGTCCAGCTTATCTCCAGCCTCCGAAATCAGGGGAACAGCCAGACAGCAGTCAAAGTCTCTCGTTCGGATGCGGTTTACCTGCCGGGATGGATTTAGGATGTGCCATGGGGAGGAACAACAAAAAGACCAGGTTTGTTAGTAAGAAAACACAAGGTTGGTGCTAAACCCACACCTGTGAAAACACACAATTCTGGGGGGGTCCCTGATTCCAGGTTCACAGCAGAGCAGGGGCACCCCTCCAGGCTGAGCACATCCTTGCTTAGCTGAGAAATGATGCAATAACTGGTAGAGGAAGGGGGAAAAATAGTCTGGATCAGGCACAGATCCTGACCCCCGGTGTCTGGGGCAGTATGACGAGTATTAAACACTGCAGGGCTCAAAACCAGTTCTCCAGTTCAAGTGTGTAGGAGAAAGGTTGCCATTTTCCATGATCGTGGCTTTTTACTGGCCTTAAATTTGTGATGTGGGGTATCAGCACCTAGGAAACAGATACAGCTCAGACCCTAAGGCTTCTGTCAACCATTTTCCAGCTCAGCCAGTAGTAAACTGAGACTATACTGAACAGTTTCTGCTTCTCCTCTCCCCATTTCCATCCTTCGTTTCGGAGGAGTCTGTATGCATTTCACGCGGGCTCAGAAGGCGGCTGCAAATTCTCTCTGCAGGATTCAGCAGCGAAAGCACCTTCACTGCTGTCTTTCGCAGATCTTCAAGCACATTTCTCAGCTGGGTCACCTTGCAAGAACCACCCCAGCTCTCCCACCTACAGCTCCCAGAGCTCCTGGGCTTGGTGCCACGCCAGCTCCGGGATGGAGGGGGCTGGCAAGCGCCACAGGGAGGGGAAGCAGGGAAGGGAGGAAGGAATTCCCCACCCACCTCTGGAGCAAACAGAACCCTTTAGGGCCAGGCATTTCTTCCTTCTCTGGGTAAAGGCTGGATGAGGCCGTGCAGCCCTTTTCCCCCAAACCCCTTCCCAGATTAACCCATGCCCACAGAGCTGGGCTCTGGAACGGTAGCGGAGTCCCCCTGCCCTAGCTGGTGTCCACACAGGTGACCCCGACACTGCTCCTTACAGCACAGTAACTAAGAGCCATTTCTAAACCACACATGGACAAGGAGAGACAAGCCATGAGCCTTTGCCCTACGCCAGCCAGGCAGTTCCATCCAGTGCAGAAGTGCCATCAGCGCAGCGCCGTGCTCCGGCTCATCCATCCGGGCGAGAGGCAGAGGGTCTGTGGCAGCAGGGACGAGGCGTTTCGCTGGCCTTCGGGCACATCCTCACGCCCACACTCGGCAGCACTCTGAAGCATCCTCAGCGATGCATCCCTCCCCTTCTTGATGGGAGCTGCCCGGAGCAGGTCTGCAATCGCCTCGTCTCCTCGCAGGTGCAAGCCGGGCGGCGCAGCGTGTGGAAGAGGGGTGTCGAAAGGCTCCACGCCGCTCTGTTCAGGATTTTTGGGCACACCTCCCAGAGCACTTGGCACTCGCAAAAAGCGACACGTCCAACATTCAACAGAAAGGCAGCCCAGAGCCTAATTAGCTCTTGTTCATTCTTGCACCATCTTTTATTTGAAGCCGAGAAGGAATAATTGTATAGCAGCCAATTGGCTAGAGACCATAACAAGCTTAAACAAGGTTCCCCACAGAGCTGCCAGTTCTCCAGTTACCTGATGTACATAATATATTGGCTCTGATCCTACTGCTAACAACCCCCGCCTAGAAATTAGTAAAACTAAACATCCTTCTGAGTGTTTCCAAATACGGTCACAATATCTGCATTTCCAAATGGTGGCAATTTTTCCGTTGGGGTTGCATTTTCTCGGTTGCTGTTTGAGTCGCCCCAAAGCTAAAATAGTTGCTTTTCATCCATATAAAGTTCCTCTCCAATCTCCAAAACTCACCATGCTCTTACTGTCCCTCTGATAGTCTGATATGCTCAGGTCACATTTATTATAGACTGTGCTTGTGACCAGAGTTTCTATTCTCTTTCTGCATCAGCTGTTTCAGAATGAGTATCTTTCAAAGGAAAACATCCACGAAAAACACTTTGCTTGAAGGATGTGTTCCCTAGAAAACTCTTTTAGTTGTCAAAGGCATGCACAGGAACTTCATCAACACCACCTAACTCCACATGGGGCTTCGCAGGAACACATGTATTGGTCAACACAGTCTAGCTCATCCAAAAGTCACCCTCTTACAGGATAGGAAAAGGACTGAGGGTGAGGAGAGGAAGCAACACAGCTTTTTTCTTGGTTTGAGCTGCCCAAGCTGAAAAAGGCCACTGCCGGGACAGGCTGTGTCCTGGAATGGGTGTAACCTAGGGGTACCACCTGGGGGTACTATGTGGTGGTTTCTCATTATAAAACACAGGTCTCATTGAGTGCTCGGTGGCTAAGAGCTCACCTAGTTGGCTAACTATTACCTTTCATTAAAGTTAGTGCTGCCATGGATGGGTCTCACTTCTCTCTTCCTCTCAGCCACTCATTCACTCCGTCCCAGCCTCCAGAACTGCATTTTGCATTTATTACCTGAAGCACTCTGTCATATGGCTTGAGGCCACACTGATCTGCTGGCCCATCCGGACGGACCATATTTACATAGACACCTTTTTCTAACAGGCCATCCGACACACTGAATCCAAAGTCTTCGCTCTCTGGGTCTTTGTGGAGCGTCATCTGGAGGGGCAGAAACAGAAAACGCATGTTTCAATGCAGCAGAGGAAAGAGGAGATGTACAGGGTTGGCAGGATAGGAATAACACAGGTAATTCTGCTCTGGGTGTCCTGGTCAGATTTTCCTTAGCCTGGCAGCTAATATGGGTTGAGCCATATTTACCAGACACCAAAATCTTAGGTAGATTACATGGAGAAGTGCTTTGGTGACTGGTATATAACCCACCTCATGACATCCCTCTCCCTTGGATTGGAAGGAAACACAGTGTAATACAGACAGCTGCCATGTTTCACCCAAAAAGCAACTAAGCAAGTGTTACTAATGGAGCATCGCCTTCCCCGGCCCAGCTTACGCTGCGCCTCCTCTGTGCCAGACCAGCACGTGAAAAATCAACCTGCTCGCAGGGCATTTTCAGTGTGTCACACGTGAAGACAGCTCATTTTTAATACATCACTCAGCAGGAACACCTAAACTTCTCCGTATTATTCACAAGTTCTTTTCAGAAAATCCGTACCAGTAAGTGCTGAAGGGAGGACGAGGAAGGAGCAACCCCATCACCCTTCCCTTGTGCACCTCATGCTCTGGCCTCGCCTCAAGGAGGTGTGCACTGCTGGAAGTGTATCCTGCCATGGGAGCCAGGGACAACCGATTCACCACCACCACCAAAATCTCCCTTTGCCTCTCATGAACTGGGAACCAGCTCCCCCGCGAGGCTCTAACCCCATCGCTGTGCTCTGGACTGGCTGAGCCTCATGGTACGACGCAGCAGAGCAGCCCACCTGGCCTCAACCTCAGCTCCAAACACAGCCAACACCAGCGGAATGAAGAGTCGCCCTGTAACATGCCTAATTACACAGCTCTCCTCCTTCAGGTACGAAGGAGTTTTATTTAAAGGCACATTTGCCATGCCCTGAAGGACAAGAGCAGATCAAACACAAAGAAGTTGTTTTTTTCAGCTACCATAACTGCAGGTTTCGTTCTAAAGTCACACTAGGAAAGAAAAAGGCAATCAAAATTTTTGAAACCTCTCCAGCTCCCTTCCCTGCTTGCATTCTGCATCAGCAGCTTCTACAGTTAATTACTTTTCCTAATTACTGTTGCCTTGCACCATGCTTAAACCGGCGACGTTCAGCTGGGTACTGAATTCAAACAAGTTGCCCATCGCTGAAGTCCTACCAGTTGCACTTCAGGAAAGGCTGGGGGTGGAGGGGAAGGGGAAGGAAAATAAGTTATTCTGAGGGTTTTTTAATACAGTTTAGCCAACTGAACGGAGCGTGCCACTGGAAAAGGACTGACGGGTCTCCATGGGGCCATACTTCAAGCTCCTTTGCTTGTATCTGTAGCACCAGTTGTTGAACTCCAGAACACGAGGACCTGGAAATCTCTCGTAATAAAGGGAAACAGCAAAGCACAGGTTTGAACCCTGCTGAAGCACGGCAGCTAAATCCTGTTACTCTTGTGCAGAGGCCACTTCATCTTAATCTGACCCTCTGGAAACCTTTGCCACAGACCTTGGTGGGGGCCAGCTTTAACAAGTAATTTTTTCTGGGGGTGCCTCTGAACAAAGGAGATTTTTTTACAAGGCTGCAAAGTTTCTACAGCTTTAACCATGGAGGCACCGCAGTGCCACAGCCAGACCAACCCTTGGCAACACAGACCTTGTGAAACTCGAGGGGGGTGGGGGACATGATTTCCTGCATTTCCTTCTCGATCTTCTTCATGTCCAGGTTCCTCTCATTCTTCTTGGCAGGGGAGCTGCTGCTCTCAGTTTGTCCGTCATCACAGCTGGAGTTTGCTCTCCTCAATGGGCTCAGTCCCGACGGGTTGACAGAGTCCAGGAGCAACTTGCTGCCCTCCAGGCCCAGGTTGTGCACACTCCCTGTCATGATGGATGCCTGTAGGGGCACACGGTCACTCTGCTGAGATGCCAGCAGGAAGAGATGGACCACAACAGCAACAAAAGTGGCAGACAGCATCACTGCTCTCATTAATCAGAAAATAACTACCAAGAAGCTCTTCCAGTTAGCTATAAAAGCCATTTCCAGACCTGAGGAGCCTGCTGCCAGGTCTATCGCTGACCTGCTGTATGCTCTCCACCCCCACCCCAACATGGACCTTTATCTCAGAAGGAAGCATTTGTGAATTATTTTTTTTTAAGTTGCTTTTTGATAGCCCCATCTATACAAACAGGGCCAGGCAGGCCTCATCTTGTGCAGGAACCTTCTTGGTAGTCAAGAAGGATGAACACCCTGATCTCAGGGGGCTCGCAGAGGAAACGGTGTCTGCCTGGCTCTGCAGGCTGCAGCTCACCATCAGCATTGCACAGTGCTGGCAAGGGCCCAGGAAAGTGAATACCTTGGACTCCACTGAGGCCGATTCAACAGAGAAATTAGGATTTTATCTGTCAGTAATGGGAGCTGTCACTGAGCAAAACTGAGTTAAAAATATGAAATTAAGTAATATTTAAGCCTGGTCATCCTTGATAGCATCCATTAAAAGATGCCCATAAGTAGATTCTACTCCATTTGGCAATGCTTTTCACTAATGAGATTACATTGATCAAAGCTAACGTAGGAGTCAAGAATCCAGTCTATGGATCCTCAAGAGGCTCCAAGTCAGAGAGTCCATTTAAATGGCATAATGAAAACTGTCATTTCAAAGTTCAGGCTCCAAGGGTCTGCAGTCCCATTAAATGTCAAAAGGTAGAAGATAGAAAAGGAAAGGTAGGGAGCAGATAGCAAAATTCTGCAATGCTAAACATGGCAAGTCAAAGAGCAATTGCTCCTGTGCTTGGGAAATATCATCTGACTAAATCTCTAATCAAGGCCCTCCCGCTCTTTTCTTCAAGCTGGAAGAAAGGCAAATAAAGCAAATTCTGGTGGCAATATGAAAATGCCAGCACTACCCACATTATCCCAAAATAGAGAAAACCTTTTCACTCTGCACTTTTCGGGTCTTCACACAAAAACGACTTATCAGCTAGAGTTTGGACAAAACTCAAATACCTGCTACATGCTGGAAGGACGCTGACTTACCACATACCTGAAACGCAGATTAGCAAACAGAGGTACAGCCAAACAGGGTACGTTTGTTCACTGACCTCAGGCAGCCCCAACACCCTCCGGGATGCCGTGCCATGCTGTACCAACACCAGCACCGCAGAGCCAGTGAGGAGAACAGAAAGGTCTGTGCACGTTGTGCTCCTGAACTCCCTCCTGCACTGCAAACACCGTAACCAGCCAGTACCCAACAGCATTCAACTCCTTCCTGTCTTCAAGGTAAATGCTCTTTGTGGTTATCATAAGCAATTTCCTAGGTGCTCTGGGTTAAGTGCAAGCAGCAGAAAGGGCAATTCTGGACTTCTCTAGCCTGTGGCTGCCCTGCTTTATTTTTTCCCCATGTCTTGGCTGCCCTCAAAGCAAAGTGGGAACACACACTCCACTAGACATACTGGAAAAATCCTGTTTCTATCCATACCCCATAGTCTGGGAGTGGATTGCTACTGTGTATGAACCTGTTTCCAGGCTGTCTTGGATCATCTTGCATGACTCTTATTCTTTTCCAAACACGAAGCACGAGGGGTCGAATTTAAAAATAAAAAAAAATTTAAAATAGAAATCTCTGACTTTCATAAAATCACAGGAGCTGGGGCTTAGAAACCTGCAGTACAGCAAAAGCCCCAGTGAGCATTGCACATCCCACACCACGCCTCAGGAAGGATGGGTACACCGAGAGGGAGGAACAGATCAGCGGTACTTTGGCTACGATAAAAGGGGAGCTGAAACCCATCAAACTTCTGCTCAAAACGCAAAGCACTTTCCTTTTGTCCCCAGAACTTTCAAAAATATTCTAGAAATGTGCTAAATACACCAAAACCCTAGAGGTGCTCAGCTTTTTGTAAGATGTCTTTATATTTTTAAAAGCATTACTATAACTGTCAAAGCTCCAAAGCCTTAAACCAGCATGAGTCAAAAGCCCACGCGTCTCTGCACCACGGATCCCTGGAAAAGGATTGGGCAGAAAGATATTTTCTCTATCCTGGCATTTCACAGTAGTCCAACAAATCCCTTCTTTTACATTTAGATGCCAGCCGTTATAGAGAAAAGAAACACCTTTGCACCATTTCAGAGGGGTACTTTTTCTTAAGCAGTCAACAGCAGTTCAGAAAGGTTAACAGTGGCTGTCTAAACTCTTTAAAATACATTCAGGTCTAGGAAATCAGTGATCAAGGGAAGAAGTTATAGTTTGTGGGGGATGGGGGTTTGGGGTTTTGTATGTGGGTGGGTTTTTTTTAAGTCAGCATTTTTTTAAGCAGTTAAAATAATAAATACATCGTTTTGTGCTTCAGCACAATAAATTTAATTGAGATTTCCACCCCCACTTACAGTTGCTAAGGATCAGGAAGGAAAAAACAATTAGTAAGTCCCTTGTCACCATACAGACCAAAACAGGACTTTTCCACTTCCAATTATTCAGAAATCGTGGTTTTTCTCTGGCACCTAAGCTATGTGCAGTTGTGCATAAAACCAGTCCCACTGGGGGAGATGGAGGGCATAAGGCAGCAAGCTCTCCCCAGTCCTCTGCACTCACAGGGTCCCACTCCTTTTGGGCTGCAGTAGCTGAACTGGGGAGGAGAGTAGCACGGCCCCCATCCTGCTGGGCAGGTTTGCTTCCCCCTGCTCGACAGTCTCGAGGGAGGCCTTTATTTGCATCCCACAGCTTAAGAAATTCAGGCTGCCCATCCTATAACCGGACACAATAACATGACCTCCGAAGTATTTTGGATAAAGAAAAGAGAAAGTGGTTTGTGAAGGGAGGAAACACCTTTATTTCTGCAGGAAGCAATTACTTTCTCAGATTTTTCCATGGGGAAGGCTGGCTGAAAAGCTTCCAATTACCTATTTCACTGAAACAGTTTCCGGCAGAGTGACAGCTGAATGCAAGATATATGGTGGGCCTGTCTATATTTGAAGTAAGCCAAGGCTTCAGTCCCAGTGGGGTTTGGGGGGGGTCTCCTTTTGCTTGGCCTTTAAGTGCTTTGGACAGACAATAACTTTCCAAGCAGGGGGTTTGCCGTTTGATAAAGAAGGTTTGCCAACAGTCATGTGAAGATTGTTGGCCAGCAACAGTTTGCAAAAAGAGCGTGGAGTTCCTGGTGGGTAAGTCATTGTCTCAGGGAAAAAGTGCACGCAAGCAACTGTCTAATGAGACGTAGTTATCCATTAGCACAAACACTGACACGGATTAAATTCAAACCTTTCTTCATACCACTGACAGCCCAGGGATGCTACAGGCAATTAACAGATCCAAGGAAACAGTCTAACGTTTACAGCAAGAGCAAAACAATCAGATCAGTAGCAAATTCAGAAAGGGATTTACCTCAATCTCCCTCAAAAGTTCAGACTGGCCACATGTTTCCAAATCCTCCAAAGCTTCTCCAAAAACACGCCAAAAACTATCCTCGTGAGTGGTCTCAAGGCCATTTTGGCGGTTGGGGTATCTGTTGTAACGTAGGAACCAAACATTGTCAGCACTCTTCTGCAGCAGGATGAAAGCCGCAAGGCTACAGCAAGTGTCTCACCAGTAAAAGCAGAGACTTGGAAGAGTCTTCATATACAAAAGCAAACAATATGAACTTTTCAGACAAGAGTCCGAATACGAGACCTCCATGCATTTACTAACGGGGCAAGTGTCCTTCAAAGGAAGAATTAAGTTGGTGTAGTAATGTCAAAGTTCAAAGGGTAAATTAAAAAGTGCCTGTAGGAAGATTGTAGGTTTAGGAAGACGTTTTGGTGAAATAGAGAAGTGAAAGAAAAAAGGATGCATTATGGGTAAACCAGGAGCCTCAGAGACTGTTAGTACAAAGGCTGATGGGATAGAGCTCAGATCTGAGACACAGAACACCTGAGAAGAGAGAGAAAAACACAGAGGGTAACAGACATGGTGAGAAAATGATAAATACATTAGGTCTCTATGAGAATAAATAATGCAAAGATGTATATAAAAATGATTGCCCTGAGCTGGAGAAGCAAACGCATGCTACAGCCAACAATATCGACAGTGTCATGTATAACCCATACAAACCGAGTTTCATTTGCCTTGGGATGGCCAGGGAACTGAGCTGTTACTTTCAGGAGGTCTCTTTTTTGCTATGTAACAGTCATGACACAGCCACGTAAAGATTGCCACCAGTTCTGTCTACAACAGAGAGTAAGGGTAGAGAGAACCTCTCTCAAGCGGGTACAAACACACGCCAACGTTAACATCGTGTGCGTCTTCCTGAGGGTCCTGCAACTTCCCACCCTGGTAATTTCAGCGACTCTTATCTCTGACCACAAGCCAGGGTTAATTCTCAAAGTTATAAAGCAAATAGCAATTAAACATGCTGAAGTCCTCTGAACAAACCAGAGAAGTGACACTGGACGCTGCTTATTGTACACCAGACTGGGCAAAACTCAGACCATCGGCGCTCCGTTTAACAGGAGCCTCTTGAAGGAAACTCTCCGCGGTGTTAAATCGAGGTTATGATAAAACCATTAATGTGCCATGGGGAGAGACCCCAAGGGGACAGGGACATTAGAACACCCCTAATGCATCTTCTACACATCTTATCAGGAGCTGCATGGACGAGGGTCCACCTCTGCAACATCTGGCAGCATCTTGCACGGCTTAATGGTCATCAACGCCGCAGACGGGAAGGGATGCACATCCACCAGAGCCACTTAGCAAAGTCAAAATATTTTACTTGAGTACAAGTCAAAGATAGTTTGGCATTCATCAAATACATAATGACCCCTTGGGCTATTAATTGAGCTTTTTCCAGATCTCTATTAACTGCAAAGTCTTTAGCACACGCTTTGCTTTTCATCCACTGGTTTAAATGGGAGTCTGTAGCAGGCATAAGTCACACACACACACACGCTTCTACTCCTTGTGGAATCATGGCCTGCCTGGAGAGAGCTGTATCTGACATGGCTTATTGTGTTTTAAATTCACCCCTTACCTGTCATCAGCTTTGAAAGGACAGTAGCCTTTACACCAGGCAGAAAGGTCAAAAAAACACCCAGCAAGACTTTATAAAAACAAACCAAAATTTCCCCCCACAAGGAATTTTTGATTCTTTCCCCTTACTCATTTCCTTCCTCTGCTCCCAGGTTCCCGAAGAGGCAAATGTCCCTTTCAGTTACCAGTTTCTTGCCTCTCAGATCAGCAATAGAACAAACACATCCAGGACGCGGATGAATCAGTACGGGCTCTCACACCACAGGGTCAGCAGGTTTTTCCAGGCTAAAGGCAGCCGAGGTTAGAGACATTTTGTTTTTCTCCCTAATAAAAAGGGCTCAGCAGCATGAACCGTTTCAGTTGCACTTTGACATCAGGGCTCAGAGCCCTCATTAGGGACACGCAGGGCTTCGAGCACTCAGATTTGCTGACTCCAGCTGTCGGCGGCCTCGCTGGGAGGGCCATGAGGGATCAATGACCTCTGTGAGCTGGCTCTTGCTGAGAGGCGAAACAAGAACAAAGTCTCTGCCGCTGCCAGCCTTCCTGCCAGTTTGATCATCTTTAAATAGGTGGAAATGGCCATGAGATGTTCTAAGGTTTTTGTTTGGACAAACAAAAGTTAAGGAAAAAAATAAGAAAAAAAAAAAAAGAACCAACAGTAACAACACGAGACACACAACTATGGGTACTCTGGAGAATGTTGAGAGGAGGGTTAGTTACGAAGCAGTGAGGCTTTTCCACCATGTGTGGCTCAGTGAGGGGCAGCCTCTGGCCAGGGCAAATCCAGCAGGATTTTCACCCAAAGCAAGGGGTAGCTGCAGCCTCCTCCAGGGGCTCAGGAGGTGTTGCAGGATTTCTCCCATGCTGGCTAGGCGGGGGATTAACTCGACCACGTTCACTCAATGTGGCTTCGTTTGTGGTGTTGAAAGGGCCAAACTGTGACAGAGAAAGACGTGCAGCCACAGGTTTGGGAGATTTTCATCTGGACATGCAGCCTCGTACTGGTCCTCCATGAGCTCTGGTTGGCCTTTTTTGCTTTGTGGCTCTGAGCTGTTGTGAAGCAGCATCATCACATGTGGGGATTGCCCTGACCATATCTATTTATTCACCTATACCATGAAAATACTGCAACCTTTACATGGCAGGAATATGAGACATGGTAAGAACCTGTGGCCTGTGCAGCTGAGACCGCCCTAACTCCAGACACAAATGTCACCTGGCCATGGCAGAGGTGCCACAGAGCTACACCCAGGGTAACCTGGCAATGTAGAGGTGCTTTGACAGAGCAGATTGCCACCCCAGCACCCCTCCCCATGGCCACCCGACGCCAAGATGGCTGCTCCATCCCATTCCCATGCTCCCTTGTCCCTACAAGTGACACCCACATTTCCAGCCGTGCCTCCCTGCCTCCTCCCACCCCTCCGCACCTGCTGGGCTTGTCCCAGTCATCTTCACTGAAGCTTCCGTCCATGTAGGGGTAGTTTTTCCTGGGGTCGCCCGGAGGGGTGCTGCTCTTTTGTCTGCTGTGTCTCCATTCGTGTGGATGGAGGGCTATGCCAGCAGCCTGCGGTATGTACGTACCTAGGGAAGGCAAGAGGGGGTGGAGAGAGATGGGGTAACACCTGCTCAGAAAAACCCAAATGGAGGAAGTCACGCTGAGCCAGGAGAGCCTCATCCCCCAAGTCCCAAACCTGAGGCCAGGTGGATTGCCTATTGCTTCCATCTCAGTCATCCAAAAGGGGTTGTTTTTCCCATTTCTTCTTGCTTGAACGAAAGCAGTTCCTCAGGCTCTTGCCAGAAGGTGCCCCATTTTCCCTTTGCTCCCCCACTTCTGAGTAGTTTTGTAGTATGGGTCTGAGATGCACTGACCTGGGACTACATCTACCACAGATGCAGATCCTGCCCCCAGCCAGCTCCAACTTTGGTTAACACCTCCTGTCTCCACGCTGAACCCAACAGAAATTGTGCTGTTGAAGCAGCCATCTTTAAATACAGTGAGTCCTTCAAAGGGTAAAAGAATATGCTGCTAAGCTTACCTCAGCATGCCCAACCCCATGCATTTTGAAGGATTTGGAGGCCTAATTTCTATCAGGGAAAAAGTCTTCATTTAGATCCTCAACTGTCTTCGGGACTTAATGGACAGCACAAAAAAAGTAATAGGATAGGAAGGACAGTAGGCAAGAAACTGCATCCAGTGCAGGCAGAAGCAACAGTCTCCCTTCGAGGAGCGTAAAGGTGCTGAGGGTACGTGGTGGTGGTCACCAGCTCCACTGTGCTCAGCAGTGGGAAATGAAGACGAGCCAGCCCTGATCCTGGGAGCGGGCAGCCAGCTCCCACGGCCAGCAGAGCCCTCCCATGCCTTCGGGATCAGCTGGTGCAGGTAGAGAAAACTGCTTCAGGGACGTGTGTGAAAAGGCAAGGAACAGGAGGAGAAACTCTGCTGGCTTGAGTGAAGGGGAGGCCTATCTGTATCGCATTTGACAGGAGATCAATACAGACCGTTAGGATGAAATCAGACAAGTCTGCTACATCTGCCCCCATGGACTTTTCCATACTGCAGTGACTTACTCCAGAGATGCTAATCCATCACCACCAAGTCACAAGATCCCCAGGTCTCACAAGCAGCTGCCTGGACAGAAACCTTCCAAAACAGAGCATTCCTCAGCAGTGTCAGTGCCATCTGCAGCAGAAATAAAACTCCCGAGTCCCCTGCCCACCTTCTGCTGCCCTTTCAATGCTTCAGAGAAATCCTCACAGACTTTCCAAGAAACATTGTATGCTTCCATCACACGTTGTGCCGAGCAAACAGGAAGAGGTAACGGAGAAACACATAATTAACGGAGACTTGACCTCCCAAACAGCCAAGAGCACTGGAAATACCCAAAGACAACGCCAGCACTTTCTTTGAAAATGCCAAGGCCTGTTATTTGACTTAGCTGAACGTTTCCTCTGTGTGTTTTTAAAGGTTAGACTGCTCTGGAGAGAGCCCCAGAAAAGTGTTTGCCAACATCTTACAGCAGTCAGGAGTGTTTGCTGCCTGCCAGAGCAGAACAAGGTCCCTGCAGCGGGTGGGCAGCAGGTTGGGGCAGGGTGCAGGGGGCCAGGGACGGCAGGGGTATGTGTGCAGAGCTGTCACTTGTGTGCCACCGGTTTCACCTCCTCCTTCCAGGGACACGGGCTGGATCCCTGGAATTCAGAGCCACCTGGTGGCATGTTTCCACCAGGCCCAGCACAGCTCTCTTGCCCAAACCCTTCCCTGAGTGGTTTCCAAAAGCTGTGGATGGACTTAAAACCTACAAGGCTGCAGAGCCCAAGTTACAGTTCTCCATTTGGGGTGTAAACCCCAATCTTCAGGCTCTGTGCATCCCAGGTCTCCCCACATCCTGCCTTCCCTGCCCATCCCATGGGCAGCCCTGCGTGTCCTTCTCCTTACCCTCCCGCATCCCTCTCGCCAGCCAGCACCAGCACACCACCACGCAGCCAAACACAATTACCAGGGAAGACAAGCGAGCCCCTGAAGCAAAGTTGCAGTCTGTGGATGTTGGGCAACTTGGCATCAGCCCCACTCCCTGGGGCTCTGTGCTCAATTACGCGTTCTCAATTTACCGGTAAAAGCAATCACTTTGCTAAATCCAGTGTCCAACTTATGTTAACATTCAATTAGATGGAGAGGGATTGCAGCATTATGAAGGCCAGGGGATTCCTCCTTAATGAAGCTTCCAGTCCCAACTGCACTCCCAAATTAAGACTTCAGACCAACGGAGGCTGAAGAAGACGCAGGGATGGTGGCAGAGACACCCACGTGGTGCTGTCCTTTGAAATGTTCTATGCCAGAGCACAGCGAGCGCAGGCACACACCTCGCTCAGCACGTTAAAGGTGCTTTGCAACAGTGCTCCTGCAGCATCCCTCCCTGCTTTCACATTTGGTTCTGGACAGCAGCGTTTTCACCAGTTTCCTTCTGCGGAGGTGATTCGGGGTTTTGTTTTGTTTCAACACGGGCTAATACTAGTTTATGTCACTAAATCTGAACTGGAATAACTATTTTCCAGTGCTTTTCTCCAAGTAAAAATCTATTCCCATGACTAGAACAACCTCCATCCTAGTTTCATATGTCTGCCAGAAGCCACAGCTGAATAAACCTGGCCTCAAAGATGTGTTCATCTGATCACTCACTAGAGAGTTAGAGATACTTTCTTGTAATATTACCTTAATTATTTTGTTAAGTGAGTGCTTCTAGTCACAAGACATTCTTGTGGATTTTAAAATATCCTGAAGAGGATTAATATGTCCTGCATGGCCTCTCTGAAGAATTAAAAGCGAGCTATGGACCAAATATTCTGTAAGACATATGGCCAGTGAATACTTCCTCTAATTACGTGAATTATAAAGTGCTGTAATGGTTCTGAAAATGCTGTGAACAGTATGATGCATATAAGCCAGAAGAAATGTGCCAATAAAAACTTAAAACAGATACATCAAGTCAGAGCACTACATGACTGCATTTTAAAATACATTTTGTTCCTTGCTGGAAGTGAGAAGCCATGCAAATGTGGTCAGCCCACAGGCTTCGGCTCATGTTCAGTCACCAGACAGGTTCAGAGGCTCTGCCTACCTTCACCTTGGCCCAGAGTCCCCTAAGAAAAGACAACCCTGGCTTACCTTGGCTTCCATACCCAGCATCAATGCCGGAGCCATCCCAGGACTCCATAGCACTGTCCACGCTAGGAATTGTGGTGGAGTATATCTCAGACAGCTTGCTAGTTTTCTGGGAGTCCGTCAGTTCATCTTCTGGGTCGCTCACTTCGTTTATACTCCCCGACTTCTTGGGATAGGATTCTGAAACCAGAACATGTTGCTTTATCAGGCATGAAGAGAAAGCCTCAGGGAAAGGCTTATGCTGACACAGGAGCAAGCCCAGGTAGTGTAAGTCTGTTGAAACACCTCTTTAGCTCTTCAGAGGTAGCTGAGAAAGGCCTGTGCAATGCAATTGAAAACATTTAATGCAGTACTCTTATCTCCAGCTGAATCAAGAAAAAATGCCTGATTTTTTAGCACATGGAATATAAGAAGCAACCACGGAGATTTAAAGATTCCCAAATATGACAGAGTTGGGACCTAATTCACAAGCGTATCTTCTTGTGTCTTTGGAAGCTTCCTCCAAACAGCCCTGCCCAGAGAAGTGTTGGCCTCTGCAAGCAAATAGCCCAGAGCTTCTCTGGTCTCAGAGGGCCTCTTTTTTCACTCAGAGCAGCACCTAGTCAGAGTGCTGGCTGCAAACTTTCTGTTACAAACAGATGTTTTTAATGAGATTCCAACGACAGTGCAACCTGGTCCCAAATTACCACAGCAGAAGTTATAGACCCCTTCCAAGATTGTACAGCCTTGTATCAATTCAAGGCTAATCACTTGCTCCCCAGAGTCTCCCATGTGGTCTCATGACAACAGTGGAATTCCTGGGCCTGGTATTTTGAGGCTGAATTTCCCCTGATTAGTGATTGGAAAGTGAAAAGCTGAATGTGGGTGATGAAGCTCAGATCTTCCTTTTCATTATTTTAGTAATAATAGGCCCTTATTATCATTATATCAAATTCCCTTTCAGGCAAAAGCTATGCAAGGAATGATTTCTCAGCGCAAGCATTTCTTTGTACTGAATATTTTAAAGTCCTTATTGATTAGATATCCTGTTAGCCATCCACACCCTGGATCTCTGACTTGCAGAGGCTGGAATAAAAAGCCCTCTGAAAGTCTGCATTTGTCAATGAGGACAGATTATTTTACCAAACAAAGCCCAGTGTCCTGAAAGTCCCTATTTTCCAAGCATTCAGAAGATTGCTCACCATGATTAACTCAAGATTACCTTGAAATTTCAATTACACCTGCTTCATTCACAGAATGATTAACGAGTCTCCAACTGGCACTTGCATGTCAATTATTTCAGCAAGTGGCTGTGACAATGCTAAGTGTCAGCAGGGAGAGGAAAAAAAAGAGTTTTTCAGACCAAGGATCAAGACAGTTGGCTGCAGGGAACGAGACCGGGGTTTCTTGAAGAGCAATCAATTCCCCAGTTCTACCTCTATTTGCTAAGTCCCCACTCCCTGACTTGGCTTCCTCCATTTGCCAAATAGATGTATTGCCACACATTTTCATGCTGCTTTGAGGTCTACAGAAGTGCTATGTTTAAGAGCAATGTTGTTTTTCCAAGGACAAACATCCCATGGGACATGTCTGCTTGGAAAAGCTTTATAACTTGATTTCTTTAATTCCCACAGCATTGTGGGCCACTAGCTTGGTAGGTCCAGCTAAATCTAGAGACTGCAGAAGCATGGTACAAAAAAATCATAAAAAAATACTGGGTGTGGGGAGAGACAGAGATGCAGCCAGGATGCACCCGCAACTTTGGAACTTGATGAAAAAGCCTCTGTTTGGCTGTGATTATGCAGCTGAGGAGAAAAGTTTGCATGTTCCCTGGTTTTGTCAATCCCCGCTCTGTCCCCCCCAAAAAGTAGCCTGCCTGTACTAAGTATGCTCCTAGTCTTTCATACCGTGTGAAGAATAGCAGCTTCAAAGCCACAGGGAGCTTGGCAGGGAAGAGAAGGGGGTTTCTAGAATGAAGGTAGATGCTTTGAAAGATGATCTTAGGACCCCAAGACAGGAAAAAGGGTGTAAAAGATTTACTGCCAATCGCTTTCAAAAAGTTGAATTAAAGGTAGGGGATTTTTTCATGGATTCTACCAGCTCCAAGTCCCCTTGATCGTTTTGGGGGGTTGTATTTAAAAAAAGAAAAACACAACATAACTTCACTCTTCTGCTTTTAGAAGTGCTTCATTTCTGTGTGAAACACCCATACAAAGAGGGAATGGCAACAATGGCACAAGGAGTCAATCATCGCTGATAAACCCGTCTAATCTCTTCCCAGTACCACAGAGAGCCCCTGAGTTGCCATTTTAAAAATCTGAGTCAGAAGTTCAGAAAACACCCACCTTTTCCCTCTGACCCCAGTCGTGCCCTTGACCACGCTGCCTCAACACCTTCCACAACACATGAAGGAAAACCCACAGCGCTGCCTGAGGTCCCTGCTGGGGTGTGCCTTTGCCCTCCCACCCCAAACCAGGCTCCCCAACTCACTCTCTGTCTGCTTCTTGATCTTCAGAGTGACCGTCTCTCCCGCCATCTGCAGCAGGTGAATAGCTTCACTCAGCGGTTTGCCCTTGAGGCTCACGTTATTAATCGCTAATATCCGGTCACCGATGTGGATGGCTCCAGTTCTGCAGAGAGAAGGCACTGTTAGTAACTTCAGCAAAGCAATTTGCCTCCGAGAGACAGGCCATTAAGTTGTCACTTGAAGCAATGGCATATTAACTCTCAGCACTTTCAAATATGTCTTGGTTTCCCCCTGGTACGCTGTATACCCATAATTTCCATTTCATCATCACTATTAGGAATCTGGGTGTCCCCAACCATCCTCCCCCTGTGCATATAGATAGGAATACACACAGGAACGGATGCACTCCTCAGATCCTGGGCCCCTCGGGAACTGGGGCTGCAGATCACAGACAAAACTCTTCAAAGCAGGGGTTGACGTGTTAAAAGCACAAAGGTTTCCAGTGTGTGATGTCCACCAGCTGTCACACATGGAACTCAAGGGTACATTCACAGGGACAGAAAGGAATGATGAGACAAACCTAGAAACCCACTGGCAAAAAAAAAAAAAACAACAAAATGGCCCAAGACACACAGACTGTGTACGCAACGTGAGCAGACCCAGCTGCAGATCAGTTCATGAGATGTTTAAAGCTCCCCCCTACACTGTGACTTTCTCCACCAGGACCAGTGCTCTGGACGCGGTTACTGTGTTTTACTGTTGAGCCACGCTCCAGCACTGGCTTCTGCTCCCAGCTAAAAAATTCTTCCGGCTTCACCAAGAACCGGGAACAAACTACCAAGTCACGGCAGTTCTCCCCCTTGTCCACTCCTCCCCTCTGTGTCGGCACCCAGGCAGGGCTCACCTTCCCGCTCCCCGTTTGCTGCAGCTCGGGGGAGCGCAGGCCGGGCAGGATGAGTCCATGGCCACGGCTGGCGGCCAGGGCAGGAGCTTGTCCTCGCCGCTGGCTGGAGCGACCTCACCGCACTCCCGCTCCAGCTCCCTAATGCCCGCAAGCGAGAGCAGCACTCCGATCCTCCAGGAGCGGTTTAGCTGTCAGGAACCTGCGTGATCAAGCCGGGAGGAGATGCAAATCTGGACTGCAATATCTTTTTGTCCACGGCAACGCGCCTCTCTCAGGTTACATCTCCAAACCGGACTGCTGCTTCTCCAGGACTGCCATCTGATACAGCGTCATGGCAAAACGCCTGCTCGTCTTTCCCCCACATGGGAAACTTTGGTAGGCGCGGTGCTGCGAAACACCAGCCTAAAGCACAGGGCAAGGGGAACCGCAGGCAGGCAGCGGGCGGGC